TAATAATCATAATTATGTAATTCTATATCTCAAAATTTTGTTTTTCAAAATGTTACGGGAATTTAAAGTCAAACAATTTAAAAAAGTATTGAAGTTTGCCTATTTTAATAATTGTATTTTTTTTTGTGGATTTTTACTAGAAAATATGTAAAAAGTAAGATATAGAATAACAAGCGTTTAAAGAAAAATATGCTTTAAACAAATATTTACTGAGTGATTGGGTAAAACTAAAAAAATGCCAAGCAATGAGTACAATTCTAAAGTAAGTACAGTAAGATGATTAAAAAATTTTAATAAATAAGAGTATTCACAGAGTACCTTGAAGTATTTATACTGTCATTAAAGAAACACTTTTAAAGTTTGTAAAATTTATTACTTTCAAATTGGTAAATATTGAATTATCTATTAGATGACTTAGATGCAAATCCTAGGTACTTATTCAATTTTAATTATAGTTGACAATGCTTAGCATATGTTAAACTTGTTTTATGCATCTGGATTCGATTATTAATGTTTATTTTAATAAAATTAATATTAAATTTTAAAAATATTATAATTTGTTTCTATGCTAGTCTGGACAACACGTCATTAAATTAGTTTTATCGATGAGTATTATGGTAATATACGTCAGAAGGAAATGACGATGAAAATACTTACATTTGCATCCGGTGTAACGATCGTCATCGTTTAGATTTACATCAGTAAATTATTATTACTATTATTTTATATTATTTATAATTAGAATATAATTCAATATTAATAAGTTAAACTGTTTTTTTATGTGTGAGCGTTATTGATATTGCTTTGTGAAACGTTATTTGTAAATCGACATAGTTTTTTGTCAATGTAATATTATATAAATAAATTTATCCATCAAAAGTATTCAATGAACTTACTTGTTTACTGATTTAAAATATATTTTTATTATCTCACTGAACTTTTCTAGCAGAAAACGTAGTAGACGATGTAAAAATGAAATTGATGAGTAGAATAATGAAAACAATAAAATCCTTAGTTTTCCGTCATTTGAACACAAATTCTTTAACAACTGATAATTGTGGATTAATGGAATTTTACATGTATTTAATCTTATATCAGGTATGCTGACATGGCATAACCAATTTATAAAATTATCATCCGTTTAGTTGCTGCTGTCCTCGATATTATCGATTATATGAAATTCTTAGGGGTATGGTTGTAGATAGATAATCTAGTTCCTTTTTCTACTTCTTACCTATAATTAATTCTAGATATACTAATTTAATCTTGAAAACCTATTCTCGCTATGTAATTTAATCTTGCGAATATTACCAAACATACCTAGAAGAAAAAATAATACAAATTTGCTTAAACATCGTGTTTTTTTAATTTATTTAATTATAATACAAAAATTAATTTTAGCAGTAGCGGATTTTTGCCATGGGGTAATGAAAATTATGTATAATATACATTAGCTTAACTTATGTATAGCAACATTGAAGAAGTTTAGCCCTAGCGAATACGCTACGTATACAAAGTCTTTATTTTATTAATAACTTATATTGTAGCAGAATTGAGGACTATAGAGGAATACATTCAAATTAAATCTAATTCAAATCTATATATTTAGAATAGTATCACATGAAATTTACTCACTGGATATTAAAGCAGAATTTGGAATAAAATTTCTTATTTTTATAATTCTTATACTTTGTTTGGTAGTAATATTCCTCATTATAATATCTTTGTAATATTTTTTATGACATTAAAAAAAAGATTATGACACACTATATATAGATAATAGTAGATATATCACTTTGATTTATATTTTTCATAATAATAAAGTTTTTAATGTATGTCATTATAATTGTGATAATTTTCTATAATAATATATTAAATTATGTATAATGCATCGATTTAGTTAATTTAATCGTGAACATTCAATATCACTAAAAACTGGCTGTTTTAAATGGAATTAATTTTTATTTGATTGACTATCAAAGTAAACGTCACTTGAATGTTATATAATATTATATGATCTAATATCAAGACGAAATATTTTTGACAATTATCTAGATAAAAATAACAACTATAAGTAAATGTTTGTAATACTTTGTAGGCTTCAGTTCACTACCAAAATCATAATAATTAACAACAGCTTTAGTTGGTATAGAAAAACAAAACATTGTAGGTTGTTAATTACATGCATAAATTAAGTCATTAACTAATTTGATGAATTTTGTAAATCAGATATCCAGTCAATAACTGGATATTAAGGAAAATTTTAGATAATAATATTATTAGTATTACTATTAGATAGTAATATTAATCATTGTAGAATATTATTCAGTGCAAACCTTATTAACCAATTTACGAATGTAAAACAATTTTTTACTACAAAGTCGGTTTATATTTTACTAATTCTTGAAATTCATTCAGTATTTAAAAGCTAAGGGTATTTTACTAATAACTATTTCCAAACACAACGAACGATTTTAATTAAACATTTGACATAGTACTCTCTTGCAAATTATAATTGTCATACTTTCATCTACTCAAAGCTGCAGCGGAAGTTTAAATAAAAATAATGCGATTTTTATTTGGGTTAACAATTTTGTTACACGTGTGGAGTGAGCGTGCGGCTCATAACGACAATGATTTCAATCAAGTTGAAAAAATAAACGGGAAAATTAATTACTAACTAGTGTATTTAGTTAATGCGAATGTGAAATAATCGTTTGCAAATGTATTATATTACCCAGGGGAATTTATTTAATTAGTCCCGTTAACATCGAGATCTGCGTCCAAGACCTAATAACATTGGTCATAATGATGCCGTTTTACAGATTTACGCGGGAGACGGTGTTTTAGAATGCACGTGGCCTCTGTACACAAATGATGGAGACCACGTGCATACCTCTGAAAACAGGAGAGTAGAACATACTGCAACATAACTGTTTAATTAGAAAATAATGTATAGTATTAAAATATGAAATCGTCCTAAGCCTTAGGAAGACTTTAGCAAATGATGTTAAATTCTAGTTTCTAAAAAAATTACTACACTCATCGACTATTCGATGAGATCCAATGAATAATAACTATCCTATCTTATACAATTCGAACAATTAAATTACATTTTATTTTACCTAAAGTTCTAATTTAGCCATATTAAATACTGTAAATTTCGTTTAAATATTTTTAAATTGAATATAACTATTTTTTACACGAATGAGACAAAAATTGAATGATAAAAAATAGGTCCCTTTGATTTTTTTTGCTAAAGGCTAAGCCTTGTCATAGCCAAAATATAGACTTCCACTAATCATTTGTGAATATCCGTTGCATTCAGCCATTCCAATCATCCCTTGATAGTTACAAAACTAAAAAGCGGGTAAAGTTATTTTTTTTTACTAATTTTTAATAATCTTAAAAAAAATTCCGACAGTTCATAAACATTACCCTAATATCATGAATGGATACTAAATAGATTAGGCATTTATAGCCACTTTAAAATTCTTCATTCTTTACACTATTGTATTACATTACATTTATGTATAATATTCAATATTTTTATGTTCCGCTTGTACGTTATAAAAATAATTTTTGTTGTTTTATCCAATGAATTATCCGAAAAGTATACAATTAATATTTTTTATAGTCATATAATAACCAAGTATTTTCAATATTTATTTTATGGTAATATATGTGAGTAGTTATCTAAATTATTTCTGTCAATCTTCTAGCGTTAGGATAATAATACCTTTTAGCCATTGCGTTGGGGGTAAACGTGACTGTTGGCACGTACCGAAGTATATGAGAGACAGTTAACTTGCATAGAAAAAAACTAACAGTGTATTACATTAAAAACCGATATCTATTTATTACAAAAAATCTCAAGTTCTTTTAATGCGTGATAGGCAAAGTTTAATGTAGAAAAAATACACTTGGCACCCACTTGTAATTTACTTAAAGTTCGAACTTGAATAGCACGTAAATTTCACATTTTACCTTATGTATGTTTACAAATTAATGACAAAAAATAATTCAAAGTAATTTCGTTTATTTTTTTCACCATAAATGTCTCCTGTTCCAATTATAATAATGTTATTCGTAACATAAAACGCAATTGAAATATATTTACTACACTGGCAAAATTTTTTTATGTTTCCCAGAACACTTTAGCTTTAGCGTAGGTATTTTCCTTGAACCCATTGTTAACCTCTCTTAATACCAAAAAGTAAGGTCGAAGGGATATAAAAACGGACAGTTTTAATAAAAATGTTCCGCTTTGGGATATCTTTTCGCAGAAGGTGTATTTTTTACTGTTCTATGTAACGGTTAAGTGATCTATTTCGTAACACGAATTTCAAAGAATATTTTATTGTAGTTCCGCTACATCATTAATTTAATTTCCTTTTTTTATATACACGTGTGGTGAAAAACTCATAAAATACAATATAATCTTCAGCTGAGTGATGCGTCGCGTTCATCCTGCCATGAATACAAAATGTGTTGGCCTAGGTTTTTGAAATTCCCATTACTATAACACCCGTCGATAATTATACCCATTAAATGAAACTCGTTAAAATGTATTAAATTATAATTGATTAATGATTTCTTCATCGTCTCATCGAACGTTTGACTTGAAACGTATACATTATGTTGAACGCCGAATTATCCGTGATTCATACTATTCACTTTAAAAAATCGTTTGTACACTAATAATTACTAGAGTAATAAAAATTATAATAGTGCGGACATACGCGAATGAAAGTTGTACTGGAATTCCAGATGATGATGAATCACCATCGAATAAATTATAATAATTATGATCGAACAATTTACTCTATAGATATGAGAGTGAAGTGTGATTATTTGGAACGGTAAAAAAAAAAATCTACAATAATACTATTACACTTATTAGCCGCCGTTGAATCCTACAAGTGTACGGTGGCGGCGGAACTCGCTCCATTCAGCAGCGCGGCCCCCCACTGTGCCTATCAATATAAAATCCATTTGCCCGCCTCAATTTGAAACAGTCTGCACACCCCGACACTTGCGATACACACGTGAGTAGCCTTACTACACTTTGTACCAAAATATTCTCTTTTGATATTTTTTTAGTGACTGAGTGCGCTTTAACAGAATTCGAATTTGTTACGTTCAGTGACCGGTATTCAAATATTAACATTTTTTATAACTCGAGTGTTTTTAAATTTTAATTTTGTGCGTCGTACGAATTTTTTGGACCGCCGACAAATTTAAATACGAACAGTATTTTAATTATTTTCAAAAATGGAATCGTTTGACATTATCATGAGTAGGAATAATACAACGACGACTGCGGTCTCGCAACGGACCAGGTCATCCTCCTTCAAATGTTCTTTTGAAGAACAGATCAATGGCTCAACAGCAGAAATAACGACGCGTAGACCAAGTGCATATAGAACCAAAGTGCTTTTGACCACCACACTTACCCTCGTACTCTGTCTGTGTCTGTTGTCAACGGCCTGCGCATCTCCTGTTCATAAAAGAGTAAGTGTCTAGAAATATTAATATTTATATATTTTTTAACTGTGATCAGTGTAATCGGGGTTGAACTGTTCATTTTTTAATTAATATTTTCCAATTTTTTTTTGTTTCCTCAGAGAGCAATAGCTTCAGGGTCAGATAGTACGCCTAGTCCTTCGAAAGTGTGCCATAAGAACACTCCGTGTGGATGGGCCATTTACATACCGTTTACCCGCCGGATAGACTATTTCATGAAAAACACGTAAGTTCCAATTCAGTCTCAATCAAATCTCAGTTTATACAATTTTAAATTAATGGTTTTTTTACCTCTTTTTCTGCATAGTTGCGATTGTGCGCCTAACTTAGCGTGTCTCAAGACCGATGACGATTTGTCAGTGAACGCGTACGTGTACCGGTGCAAAACTAAGCCACTGACGACCACTGCTGAGACGCCGACGACCACTTGAGACCATCCGTAATATTAATTTCCAGGGCGAAATTTTTAATTATACATATTAATCATGTGTGCAATATGTGCACATGAATAACCCGCAAACATCTCGGATACTTAGTCCTCATTCCTCGTCAAAAAGAAGAAAGTGGTCTTAAAGTAACAATCAATAACATATTCCTGTATGCCAAATCTATCAAGTTCCACATTTATGACTATAATAATAATTATTATTTTATTTATTAAAAAAAAATTATTTTTTTTTCGACCTTAGCTAGTAGGTTTGAAGGGAAAGGTCAATTTTGCTGGTATTTTTATAGTTTACCCAATTATGTAACTACTTGTTAAAATACATATTCTTTTTAAAATGATTAAAAAAAAAATAATTATTTATCAGCGAGTTGGGTACTTATAATTTATTATTATTATTTTTATGTTACCTTTTTTTGTTTATTATAAATTATTATAACTAATTTTATTCATTAATACCAAAATGTTGCAAGATTTTTATTTATTCGCTTCTTATTTTAATTTTGTGTACAAACAAAAAGGGCATTAGGATTTATAACGTTTATAAAGGTTTCGTCCTGAAAACACCTTTTAAGTGCAGTATTTTTTCATATACTTGTAGTTTTGATTGTTGAAAACTTTGAACTTTAGAATTAATATTTCATATTTAAGTTAAGTTAATTTATTTTTTATTTAAGGCAAGCTTACTTAAACACAACTAGCGTGTACATTTTTCACAGCCAACATATTATGTTTTTTTTTTTTTTTTTTACCGTCAATTACATATTGCTGTCGACCCATCATGTTTTAACACTGAGCATTTACGTCATTCCCATTGCTATACTATAAAAATTATTAGACATTAATCAAAACAAACTCTCTGTTATTATGTTTATTTAATATTCATCATTATTGTACGCGTTCTTCCAGTGTTGTTTTTTTTTTTTTTTTTGACTTAACAACTTTTATTATTATTATTACTTCAATAAAGGACATAACACAAATCAAGTAATAATTAAAATGTTTTTATTATGTTAGATTACAGTATTATTATCTTTAGGTTTTACGTACACACATGCTGTTGTACGATTTCCTATGCGCTGAGTACGGTATAAAATACTCATTCATAGTTGGAAACTCTAGAAGAGATAAAATAATAAATCAATTCATGAGTATTCTTAAGTGCGTATTAAATTTTATCAGTGCAGCTATAAAAAAAAAACGCAGCAACTGTTTTATAAACATATACATACACTGAGATCGACAAACATGTGTCGCCTGGAAACTTAATGGGTAGGCAACGTAATACACTCCAGAACCGGAAATCCGACCGGTTGTCGATAAGGAAAACGTAATAGATTAGTTGAATTTATGTTCAGGTTTTTTAAATTTCGGAATTTATCCATAAGTGAAATACAATACATAAGTTAATACACTTCATGTCTCGTTTTGTTTGTTCGTAAAACTTCAGGTCAAATATTTAAAAAAATGATAATTACCATAATATTTTTATGAATTTTTAATAAAAATAAAAGTTTATTGGGAAATATTAAAAGTAACACGATTTTTTAGTAGTAAAATGTATAATTAATTTTTTTACAATCTTTTTGACATAGTATATTGTTAGTCTTTCGTAAATCGTTATGAATATTTGCGTAGAGAAATTGATAAAATTTTATAATTTAATCAGACACTTGAAAGTGATAACTTGTTATTTTTCTATAATTTTTTGCTATTTTAAATATGATAAATTTATAATTTTGATAATAATTTGACTATATGTACCGACTAAAAAATTAAAATTAATTATTTATAGGTCAGAGAATCAGTTGACCACTTGGAGAGTGCACCTCTTAAAAATTAAAATTTTTAATTTTAGTAAAAAAAAAATGATTGAAAATTAAAACATTAGTTCATGAAATATGCATCTTAATCTATGATGATCATAAAATAACTATGAAATAATAAATACATTGTATTTATTATTATTATATTTATTACCATAATACCTCCTGAGGGAGGTATTATGATTATCATCGGCAATAGGAAAAAAAATCTCGAGAGCTTAGCTTTTTAAAAGTTGACTGTAATTACTTATATTATTATTTATACAGAAAGAGAAAATGAGAATTTTTTAAGTAGTGTAATTTCTAATTTTATTTACTATTAGAGCCAGATTAAGACCAATATAAGCCCCCTATGGAAAATATCGCTACCATAAAAAAATGATGACCAAAAAAATCTCAGAGATACTGTATGTGTTACTAACCATGACAGGCTACTAAAGTTTATGATGGGTCTTTAAATCTCATGGGGTCCAAAGCATTTTCATTATTAGACCACCTACAATTTACTTTAAAAGTCAAAATCTTATAATTTGTTTTACTTCTTTAATAATTTATATAAATTCTACTAATGTATTGATTTGACCTCTTCGAAGTATTTTTATTAAAAAATAATGTCAAATCAGTCATAGACAATCGTCTAAAGATTACTTGGAAGGCGTTTAAATTTTTTTTTGGCACTTATACTATTTGGAAACATTCTGAAATTCCAGTGGTCAGTGAATAGGTCACGCAAGAACTTTTCATTGGAAGTTGTAATGTGTAGTCTAAATTCAGTTGAAATAACAGATAGCATTTCTCTATAGAACTAGTATTGTAGATGACTAAGTTATTTATATTTATATACTTAGATCGTTGCGTGAAAACAATGATATCAAGCTTATTATTGTAGTATTATATAGCTTACTATTATAGTTACCTTTATTTTACTTTCCCACAACCCTTTTATTGACATTTTTTAAATTTTCTCATGCAATTTTTCATTATTTATTCCGTAATACAAAATTACTGATAGGACAAATAACAAAACAGAACGATTTTATTTATTAAATATTATATCATGTAATGAAATGCGTTATATCGAGTATTACTTATAAAATAAATAATCCAAATATTTAGAAACGAATTATCAGAATTTTGTGAGTTTTTATTATGCTTGATTCTATTTTTTTTCTAATATTCTGTAGGAATTTTTATGAGAGGAAATTAACATTTTTTTTTTTGTATTTTGCTCAATATCCTTTTAAAAGTACTATTTTTGGTAGAAAAAATAAAAAATAAATTGTCATATGAATTTTGAATCGTCCATAATTTAACCAGTTTTCATAAATGACAATAATACATTTAAGATTTTCTTGTATAATCGTATACTATAAATAATATTAATTGCGTAACTAGTGAGGACTAAAAGGGTTAAACCAACATTTTAAATAAAAAATATGTTAATCACATAAATATTTTTTTAATATTAGTCCTCTCATTAGAAAATCGTAGATACGTCACAGATACACATACTATGTATTTGATGGCCTTATTTTTTTGCTAATCATCTTTTTTCATTAGTATTTTGAAACAAATAAAAATTATTGTATGAATATTTTAGGGGAAGGTTTGCGTTCTCAAAGTTTCTAATTTCCAATCAGGTGTGTTATTTACAAATCTCTACGTATTTATTAGTGTACTTGTCAATCTAGTGTTATAATTCTTGGTATAGTTAAGGTACAGCTTTATACAGATCTGAACCTTTTAACTTCTATACAGGTCTTGCGTACTTATTTATATTTATTACTTTTAACACTAATTATTTCTACTTTTAAATTATATAAGAGTTTTAAAACACTTTTTTAGTATTGTAATGAGAAGTTATATTGCGCAATTAGTGTAATAGTAGATAAATATGATTCTTGGTATTAATTTAGCATCTCTGATTTCTCTTGCAGTTAATCAGTAAATAGAATGAGTTATTGAGCCAGGTGAAGTATTCTATTAATATTGATTTAATGGTATTTAGGTAATTAATCTTCAAGCACACGAATCTAATTTTATCATTATTTACCAAAGAGTTAATTTAATTAAATATTGCCTATTACTTAAAATAATAAGTGTTTAAATTATTTGTTGATATTTATGTTGAAATATTTTATTAACATTACATAAATTGATATGTATTAATTTTGGATTATATAATAATCAATAAATTATTGTTGCTGTAAAAAAAAAATGATGTATTTATTATTGTATATTTATTTTTTAATACAATAGAATAGAAATTAAAAAAAACTATTCAATTTAAAATCTAGGCCATTTTTTCTATTTTAGTTTTATTAAAAAAATTAATGATTTTGTAACTTTGACTTGGTCTTAGTTAATGATATGAGAGATGGGATATAATTTTATTTTATTATAACAGTATTACATGTGTTATAATATAATTTTTAATATTTTGAATCACAATAAAAATTTATTATACGTTTTATTCATTTTTTATTGAGAAGAGAGGAAAATTTTATAAAAAAAAATTAACTTTTATTAGTTTAGTAATTTAATTCAAATAATATTAATCATAAGAAAGAAATTGAACAAATTTTGAAAGAATTGTAAATATATATATAATTATTCATATTTCAAATAAATAAACTTTTTAGTTTCTGTTTGATTTTATTAATATAAGTAATATTATATGTATAAGTCATGATTGGTAACAATTATAATTTTATACTATATTTTATTTACTGTGTTGATCTTATGCACAAACTGTTTTCAAATATTATACTTAGCATAATACATATACACACATATTTGACATTATGTACTTAAAATTATTAAAATTGCAAAGTAAATAATAAAAATAAATATTTACATATATAGATCATACATACATACATATAAATATATATATAAAATAAACATTTTTCTCAATAAATATTGAATATTTATTTGGACGCTTCAGCAAGTTCTTGTTCAACAATTGCTCTATATTCGTTAAAACCTCCTTCAATACTTTTTACACTGCCACCACCACAAACCCACAATTCTTTACATACCATTCGAATTAATCGTTCATCATGCGAAACAAGAATTAAACCTCCCTATAAAGAAATTTTATATAAATTTTCTATAGTTAAAGTTTTTAAATATGTGCCTTTTATATATAATTTTTTTAAAATATAATTATCTTACAGTATATTTTTGAATAGCTTTTCCTAATGCTTCAATGGTTTCAATGTCTAGATGGTTGGTAGGTTCATCAAGAACAAGGAAATTCGGGTTTGACATACACATCCTGGCAAATGCTACCCTGGATTTTTGTCCTCCTGAAAGACTGCCTACACTTTGTAATGCTAAATCTCCCGATATTCCAAAACCTCCTAATTGTCGTCTATAATCTTCCACAGATTTACCTAAAATTTTTTTTTTAGTTTTTCATTTTTTCATTCATTATTTTTAAAATGTTATACCAGGAAATGATGACTGCAAAAGTTCTACAGAAGACTGGTTCATTTCTAGTTGATCTACATGGTGCTGACTAAAATAGCCAAATTTTAGATTTCTATGAACATTTCTCACACCAGATGTTGGATTTAATATACCCATTATGATTTTTAACAATGTTGTCTTTCCAGCTCCATTATCACCTACCTAATAAATTTATTTATATAAGATAATTAAATAGCTATCCTTTTAGAAGGTGTCAAAGTAATATTTTTTAAGGCATTAAAACATGTATCAAGAGTGAATTGATTCTAGAGGATTGCTTAGCTATAGCTAGAAGATAAAACTTTTAATATGCTTAAATGAATTGTTATTAAACAAATTTTTTAATAAATAATAGTAACAAAAATTGTTCATTAATAGCTCATGAAAGAATCTAAATAGTTTTTTTATGTTTAATTTAACATATTGGTTATCTAGTAATATCTAGTTCTCAGAATTTTTGTTCTACCAGAAAATGTATTCTATATTTTTTGAAGCTATTAAATTCTATTCGTGGCACAATGAAGTGAAGCTTTTTTAAGTCTACTGTTAATATACACACTATTAAATATAGCTTTTAAATGTTTAGTATTTTAGAATTTTTAAATAATTTTTAATTTTGGATAGTTGACGCCTATTTAATAATTTAAAAAAACAATGTGATAAACATACAATACATATTCTGGATTCTAATGTTGCTCCTAAATTAACATTATTTAAAACATTGCTGCTACAACCAGGATAAGCAAATGAAACTTCATTTATTTGCAAAATAGGAGGAGATAATCCTTCAGTCTCAGGAAATCGTAGTACTACATCCACTTCTTTTTCAATTGGTTTTAATTCTGGCCTATAAATATATATTTTAAGTTATTTTTTTTTTTTATATCATATTAAATAAAAATTTACATTGTTTAATTTATAATAATGTTTAATTGGTACTTCTTACTGTACTAATTATGATGAAAATAAATATAGTTAGTTTTTGCATTTAGCTAATAATGACACTATATTTTTCATTCATATAAATATTTTATTAAGAATTATTATATGTACGTTAATAACTGCCATTTTTTATTGATATAAATAATATCTAACATCTGTTGTATTTAAATTAAGCATGAGCTTATTTGGAATTTAAGAAAAATAGGATGATTTTATTTAAAAAAAAAAAACATATAGAAGTGGTATTTTAATAAAATAAAACTCAAGTATACTCATTATAAAATAATAAATTATAGTACCCAGAAGAACTTAACTCTTTTATTCATCAACAATACTTAATAATTTACAAAAAGAAGTATCAATTTTTAAAATGTACCATATTTACAAACATTTTTTTTAAGGTTATTAATAAGAACATCCAGCATTCTAGCACACTTTAAATTCAACTAATTTAAGGAAGTAATAATATTAACCTTATTTCAAAAATATAAATTTAATAATTTAAATTTTCATATGTAAGTAAACTTACAGTTTTTCAAGCATTTTTATTTTACTCTGTACACTCGAGGCACGATTGGCATTATATCTAAATTTATCAATAAACTCTTGTACATGTGCTCGATGAGCTATCTGTGCTTCAATTTCTCTTTGTTGATTTTTGAGTTTTTCATTTTTGGTTTTTGCAAAAATTTCATAATTACCTCTATAAGTATCTATATGCTAAGAAAAAAATTATGAATGAGAAATTATTTAGTTATATAATTATATATAAATTAAAAATAACTTTTTGATTTTTCAAAAAGTGTTATATTCAATATTTTTGAAATAGAATAATTATTGAAATGAGTGATTTGCATTTATATTATTTTATCAACATTGTTTCAATAATTTATCATGCTATATTATTTTATTATACTTAAAAATCATCATTATTGTAGTAATTTATAGTAAAAAGAAACATTTTTGTTTAATTTGTTAACTCAACATTATTTTAAAATGATCTAGTCAATAGCAATATAACTATTAATATTTTTATTTTATGTACTTCTAAAAAGAAGTAGTATTAAATAAAACGAAATTGCTGATACACCATAATTTTACTTTACTACTGTAGTGGTAAAAAATAATTTAAGACCATTAGTTTTTTTTAATAAAAATAACCATATAGCTTAGTTGAGTTTAAATTTCTATTACACAAAATAATTGTTAAATTTTTAAATAAAATTAAATAATTTTGCTTTACTTGAGAATGAAGATGTAAAATATCTGTTGGTACAGTATCCAAAAAGTGACGATCATGAGATACTACTAATAATGTACTTTGCCAGTTCTGTAAATAGTTTTCTAACCATATTATAGCTTTCATATCCAACATGTTAGTAGGTTCATCAAGCAGCAATAAATCAGGCCTTAAAGTAAAATTAATAAATTAATAATTATTATTTATATAATTTAAAGAATACAAACTTGGAAAAAAGTGCTCTTGCTAGTGCTAATCGCATACGCCATCCCCCTGAGAAATGTTTGGTAGCTTTTTTTTGCATTTCTGGATTAAAGCCTAAACCATCAAGTATAACACTTGCTCTGGCAGGAGCTTTATCAGCTTCTATTGCACACAATTGCATGTATATATCACTTAGCTCTGAACTTAAATCAGTACTTGAAACCGAACTTTAAATTCAAATAAATCATTAAAATAAAAAAATAATAAAGTATGTTGATTTTCCCCCCCTTTTTATGGCTCTTTGAGGATGATTTAGGGGGATGCTCCCTAAGAGGAAGTTTCTTAACCATGTTTATGGGATGATATGGGTGCTTAATCGATCATCAAAGAGAGAGATGCAACTCTAATCACTAAACAGATGACTCGTTTAGTAAACAGAGTTGCCCGTAATGATCAAGTCTCAAATTCGAAATAGTGGGCATTAGACACCACCACATTACCAACTTGGCCACACCGTTTCTCAAAAGTATGTTGATAAATAATTAATTTTATATAATTACCTATTGTTAATTAGAGTATTAATTTCTTTTTCTCTTGATAAAAGTCTATGTCGAACAAAATCACACTGAAGTACAGATTCTAGGGCTGGAGTATCATCACCAATAACTTCTTGCTCCACATGTAAAATAGAAATGTGTGATGGAATTCGTAATTGACCACTAAAAAAAAAATTATAAATTTAAAAAACCAAAATATTTTTAACTGACAAAAAAAATTTAGTTTTTCTTGATACAAACAATTTTTTTTTAATAGAATAAATTTTGAGAAAAAAAAACAGTATGAAAATATTTACTGAGCATAGCAAAATGACTTGAAGTTTTAAGCTAAGTTAATTATCTTACCCAGATATCATTCTCAATAATGTAGTTTTTCCCAGACCATTCCTTCCAACTAAACCATATCTTCTTCCATATGCTAATGTCACATCAGTATTTTGAAGTAGTATTCTAAAAATTAAATGATTTTATTAATTGTTAAAAGTATTATTAATTTAGAAGATGTATAAGAATGGGATGCATAAAGTTTACAAAGATTACTAGAAATAAAAAAGGAAAATATAAATTTTTATTTTATGTTTTGCTTAACATAAAAATAAAAAAACCTTTCAAAAATACAATTTTATGTTAGGGCTTGTTATTGAATACAAAACAAATATCAAACATTAATATCTTTTAATGACAAAAAAAAAATGACAATGTTCAAGTCCAATAAAAATAATAACCTTTGTGGTATAACTAATATAAATTATACTCCTACCATAACAAAACATACCTATCTCCATATGCAACATCAAAATTTTCTATTCTTATATCTTGAGCACGGTTAATTCCTTTTGCTTCTAACTTGGCTTCTTTTTTACTAGTAACTTGAGAAGCAGTTGCACCATCATTTTTATTATTACTAATACTTATTGATCCCACTCCTTTGACTACTTGTTCAGTTCGTTTATCTTGTTTTTGTTGCAATTTAGCTTGAGCTTTTTCTAATTTTTTTTTATCTACTTTCTAAAAAAAAAATTAATAATAATAATTAATCATTATTAATCTAAATTAATTAAAAATCTTAATTATTCATCATATGTCAAAAATTCTTTATATTGTATTAAATATTATTTTAAATATACATCTAATGAAAATCCATAGATTGAAGCAAATAAGAATAGGTAGGATCAATAAAACAGTATGACCTAGTATAGTTGATATTGTAATTGTTTGCTTATTTTATCCATTAACATCAAAATACAATAAGTTAATACAAATGAATGGTCACAATAATGACAATATTTAAATTAGTATTTGTTTCTCTCATCCCATTTTACAATAATGCAATAAACATCATAAAAAGCTCTTACCAGACTATCATCTCTCGAATTAACCCATATACTTTTTATTTCCATATCATTATCTTCAAGATCAGCTGCCATAGATGCAAGATGAACAGGAGCATCTAATATTTTTGCTAACCCATTCTTAGGAGCATTATTATATGAATTAGGTCTTATAAGATGTAATAGTTTTGAACATATTACTCTGCAATATTTTATTAATGTTAAAAAATACAAGTACTAAAAATTAGAATTATTGTCATGTACCTAATATCAGATTCAGATTTATTTGCTATTTCTAGTAATACTTCTCCTATAGCTTCAAAGACATCTTCAGTGTCATGAAAGTCATCAATGCCATTTTCCAATACACCTTAAGCCATGATTATATATATTATATGGTAAAAATAAATATAAATAATAAATTGTTTTACCTTCGATATATTGGGACATTTCTACATCAATGCAAGGAAATTCTGATTTTATAAAATCTTTACAGTGGTCCATTTCTAAATTTAATTTGTTTAACTTAACACAGTAAATAAAGTAAACGATAACTCATTAAAGAAATTGATTTGCAATCAGTAACAAGACTTAGTGAGTCTTGTATAATCCTAACTACTTGTTACATATTGTGCTATGTCAAAAAAAAAAAATAACAAATGTAAAATTTCATTTCTACCAAAGAGATTTAAATTTTTAGAAAATGTGATCAAATAATCAATGAAAATCAGATTAATATAAATGAAATACTAGCAGTCACAGCTAGAGAAACACGATTCTGCTGACAGCTGAAGTGCCCAGTAGTTTGATTCAAAGTTAGAAACAAGAACTATTATGAATATATTTTTGCGAACTTCAAAATAATATTAACACTATAACAGTGATAACAAAACACCTTTGATAACATGTAGTCTACTGTATTGTATGAGGAATGTTAAATTGGGAATTAGGGCACCAATAATAATAAGAAATTCTCGTTTTTATTAAGCAGGCAATGTCGTCATTAGCTAGTTGTTATCTAATATAAAAATAAAAATACGGAGGTGGTTATCTAATTAATTATACGGAAGTGCTCCAAGTCCGTTTTATTATTGAGGTCTCATAATTTTGTTGTTAAATATTTTCATGTAATTTTTTTCTGATTACAAGAATGATGGCAACCACATACAACTTTCTATGTAAGTTTTAAATTTGATATTTTATTTACTTATTTTGTTATAAATTTTTTTTAATTATATTATGACATATGATCAAGTTTCAAGAAGGACAAATATTTTAAGTACAATTAAATGTCCTAAAATATTTTTAAATTATCAACTCACTAAATGTTTTTATTTTATTAACAATAATTATAATTTTTTGAGTGTAATTGTAGTGTTTTGTGTAAAATAAGATCACTTAATTTTATGAATTAAAATAATTTATTTTTTTTGTTAAATATTTTTGAGTTTAATATTTTTAATATTTTATAGTTTTTTTAAATTAATAATATTTTTAATATAGTTTTAATTTTACTTATAATATTTTTCTTAGTGTTAGAGTTTTGTGAGCACAAAACAATTTTATGTGCCCATACAACTCTTTTTAATATTTGTGATACATGAAGTATTATATTGCCATTTAGTTACAATACTTTTAAAGTTATATTAAATTTCTTGCATCTAAACTGATATTTGGTTGGGTTACATTTGGTTTCAATTATTTACAACTTAAATTCTAATAAACATATTTCAATGATTTTTTTTCTAACTTTTTTATTTTGAATCATAAAATTACAATATATATCTTTTTTTGGGTCATTCTTTAATGACTGATCATCTTTATTTTTGAAATGTAGTTTGATAATGTTTTTCACATCAAAATAATAAACTAAAATGCTTTTTATAGTTTTCAATTTATTATTAAATAAATTATATTTATTTTCTTTAGTGCGTAGAATTGGAACATCATTTTTGAGGTTGTATTCTACAAGCACAACAAAAATAACTACACATTATACTGTTCATTCAAGAGAGTCTGATGAAAGATGGAAAGGTATTTGGTATATTTAAATAAACATATTTAAATATTTAATATGTATGTTCTACAAAATATATATAAATATACAGGCTGAATGATAAAGATATAATAAATCCAATAACTTTTAATCTAATTATCATTTTGTTGAAACTTCTTTAAATAATTATTGTGTTCTTAGACTATGTTCAAAGCCTAATTTTTATTATTTATCACTAAGATAAAAAAAAAACTTTAAATTTTAATTGGTCGATAATAGTTTTAGGACAAATACTTATTAAGTTACAAGAATTTTAATACATTGGAGTTGATCACTCTATGTATCACACACATATACGTATACCAGTATGAGCTGAATTCTCACTCAATATATTAAATTGCTCATAATTTAATGAGTACTTGTTCTAAAATTGTTACCAACTTATCAAACTATTTTTTTAAGTAAAAAGCTAAAAAAATACTATTTTAAAATTAAAAAAAAAATTGTTGTTCTTTTAATTTTTATTAGTGATAAATAATAAAAATGTTTGTTTTAAGCATAGTCAATAAGGCAATAATTATTAAAAAAAATAATTTCTGAGAAATGATCATTTGATTTATTATGTATCTTTGTGACTTATCCTATAAAATATATTAATAGTTTTAGAATTTCGAAAATTTTTATTTTATTAGAAATATCAATGGAACGATATGAAGATGTTGCGGATGTAGTAATTGTTGGTGGTGGACCTTCTGGTATGTGTGCTGCTATTAGGTTGAAACAATTAGCAAATGAAAATAACAAAGAATTAAGAGTTTGTGTTGTTGAAAAATCACCTGAAGTTGGTAATTATACAGTTTGATACTAAAATATTTGTTGATATTATTAAACAACACACTGGGTACAGTAATATTATTTAAGATAACAGTTTAATGTATTTTTACTTATGTTAGTATAGTACAAGGTCAAAGGGACACATTCCTTTTACGATTATGTTGTTTTACTCAATGCAGCCTATTGTATACATGTTTACAGTTTAGTCGTAGTTTCACCGTCTATCGAGTAAAGTGACCCGTTGCCGTTGTACATCTCTTATATTATATGTTTTGACATTTTATATTAAATACTATTATATTACGAATAATTTCTAAATCTTTTAATTACATAACCTATTCCATTCAACAATATTATAATGACATCAATATGTTGCAATCATTTTTAAAGATAAAATACAGAGCTTCCTTACATTTTTCTTTTAATTCTTTAATTAAATAATATATCAGTAGTTGTTTGAAATGTACATTTTATTTAATATATTCTCTTATGTAAACAGAGTTGAAGCATTTAAAACAATTTGTTTTAAATATATTTTGTTTAAATTGTTTTTTATATTTGTTAAAAACATAAATTTTTTAATTATAAAATATATTTCTCATGGATTCTACAAAGATTAATTTATTCTAAGAAATAAAATAAACAGTTAAAATTATTTTTATTACAAAATTAAGTACCATTACTCACTCAGCTATTATATATTGACATACAACAAAAACTTAAAAATTTACTTTACTAATAAATATTATTTACAATTTATAGGTGGGCACATTTTATCAGGTGCAGTTGTTGATCCAATTTCTTTAAGAGAACTCTTTCCAAAATTAGAGGATTTAGAAGCTCCATTAAATACACCTGTCAAAGAGGACAAATTTGGTTATCTTACTGAAAAAAGACATATATCTATACCAATTTTACCAGGTTAATTTAATATTAAATTTGTATTTCTCAAATAATTTTGGATTAAATTATAAACTTTATCAATATTTTAGTAATATTTTTTGTAAAAAAAAAAGAAATTTAGAACTAAATTATTAGTTACTTTTTTTAATTATAAATTAAAAAGAAATTTTATTACTTTATACTTAAAATATCAATTACTTGTATAAAAACAATTTTTTTTTTTTTTAATAATGTGTGTTTTGTTAATATAAATTTTAAATATTTTTAAAAATATATAATGTACTGCTTATGTTTATAAGGTATGCCTATGGACAACCATGGGAATTATGTTGTTAGACTTGGTCACTTAGTTAAATGGTTAGGTGAACAAGCAGAATCATTAGGTGTTGAAGTTTATGCAGGATATCCAGCTGCAGAAATATTATATCATCCTGATGGTTCTGTTAAAGGAGTAGCTACTGGCGATGTTGGAATAGCCAAAGATGGTTCACCAAAAGTAATATATATTTAAAAGATATAATAATTTTAGAGCATAAATTATTATGAATAATTATTTTTATATTATGAAGATAGTTGCAAAATAATAAAAATATAATTTTACAAAAATTTTAGTTAAATAAATACAATAGTTTGATATGATAGAATTATGAGTAGTAATTTTTATTAATTTATTTTCTAAAATAAATTAAAAATTTAGAACTTTGTTGGAAGGTTGGTTTTTTACTGTTAATATTATAAATTTTAAATATAAATATCTTGTCATCTAATTTGATTTATAAATAATAAACTTAAGAGAATTTATTGGAAGTTCTAAAAATATAATTATAATTTCTAGGATTGAAATTATTAGTTTGACTATTAATTGGTTANTAAGATTGAAATTATTAGTTTGACTATTAATTGGTTGTGGCAATTTTATTTTATTTAAAACCAAATCTGATAGGTTGGATGTGGTTACTGAAATACATCATATTATATTATTCATAACAGATATGAAAATAAAATTTCTTTTTGTATTTTTTTCTTTTTTCTCATCAATATTAAGTTGAGTCAGTCATGATTTTTCTTATATATAATTATTTTTTGTAAATAAATTTTGTTTTTAATTGGAATATTAAATAGGTTGTAATTAAAATTTATACAAATAAAAATTTATTTGTATAGGAAAGTTTTGAGCGGGGTATGGAACTACATGCAAAAGTGACTATTTTTGCTGAAGGCTGTCATGGACATCTTACCAAACAACTATTTAAAAAATTCAATCTCCGTGAAAATTGTTCCTCACAATCTTATGGATTAGGAATCAAAGAAATATGGGAAGTAAAACCAGAAAATCATTATCCTGGAAAAGTACAACATACTATAGGATGGCCATTGGTATGTAATATATTGATTAATTTTTAGGGCTGACTAAAAACTGAGCTGGCAAAATTAAATGTATTGAGTCTTGAAATTGTAAAAGAATAATTACATATGTCACTATCAACTCGAGCATCTAAAATGATAAAATATTGATTAATATGTATAATATGGAATAGTCATTTTATAAACACTACTATTAGATATTTACTGAAGCTATGAGTGAAGGTTTAATAGCAAAACATTCTTTGACAGAAAATTTCATTGGTCTGTGTAACAATTGTTGTGAAAATATATATAGCTAAAAAATTAAATTTTTGAAAATACATTTTAGTTTTGATGTGTAGTTGAAAGATTTTTAGTTTTACTGTGCTATGTTTTTTTTTTGTGTCACTATACACAATTACTCTGCTCTTATTAAATTCTTTCACTCATTGATACACAAAAAATTCACAAAATGTATCTAGCTATTTTAGTTAGTTATAGTCTCAATTCTTAGTTTCTATTCTTTAAACAATACAATGCACTTTGAACTTATATTCTTATATAACTTAGCAGACATGCATTAAATTATTTCAAATTAATGCTTATTTAATATAATATACAGAGTGATCTATTTATAATAAACCACTTCATTACTCGCAAAATAGAATATAATATTAAAAAGAAAATGTGTGTGTTTTTAGTTACATATATTCTTTATTAATCAGTTATTATTTTTTTGTATCGTCCTGTATAACTTATAGAGTTGTCAATTTAATTTTTTTAAACAACAATATAACCTTTTTTCTTTAATTTTCAAAAAACAATTTGGTTTTTTCTTTTCTCTCTAACATTTTATAGACTTAAATGTTTTTAAACTCAAACGTATGTTTAACCAACTTACAAATTTGAAAGTAATCTATCTAAGAAAATGACTGATCGATAATAACTTTTATACTAGTATTTCTAAAGACATTAGCATTTTAATAACAAGACTGAAAGAGTAGTGTGGTTCATAAAAGCTTCTTCTTCTTTTTTTCCTTGTCTTAATCCCAACTACATGGGTTCGGCTACCCTTATCCTAAACTTTTACTTGACAAGATCTCCCACATCATCTACGCTCACATCAGCCGTTGGCATATCACATTTAATAACATCCCTCCATCTCTTTTTTGGTCTTCCTCTACATCTTATTCCTTTAACATTAATTTTTATAACTGTTCATACAGCTTCTGATTCCTCTTTCCTGAGAGTGTGGTTCATAAAAACTTAAAGATAAAAAATAAACAGTTCCTTGCTTCATCATAATATAGTAGCCGCGGACCTACTAGGGTGCCTGAGGTAGGTGCAAACCAGAGATAAAAGGTATCCGTACCTTTTGACAACTTAGTTGTCTGGCACTGATGATCTGTTTGAAGACACAGTAACCGTGAACCGACTTGTCGCTCATCTCTCACTAATCCTCCGTGCCCAGCAAATAGCACCTAGTGCTAATGCTGATCATGGTTGTAGGTCAATCTCTTTAGAGTGAAATCCATATAGACAATAAATTCCCTTGCTTTACCTAGTCTTGATATTAAAGGGTTATTAACTTCCAAATACTGGTCCAAAAGTTGTTATCGACCAGTTCTTGGATAGAACATTCTATAGTTGGTAAGTTTGTTAAATTACATGTTTTGATTAAAAAAATTTAAGCTGAATATATTTTAAAAACAAAAAAAGAAGGCTAGGGACACTGTTTTTTAAAATTATAAATGAAAGGTAATATTAATTTAAAAACGAAAAAAATAAAAATTATATTTTAGATTTTTAAAAATATTGTGTTATAATGTTAATAATTAATAGTTAATAGTCAATAGTTAATCAATCACCTATATGTAACTAAAAAGTTATTTTNTTAATCAATCACCTATATGTAACTAAAAAGTTATTTTTCAATATTCTATTTATTTGCAAATAAATGAATAGTATGCAATAATTGCATCACTGTACTGTAAAAAATTAAAACTTATCTTCTATGAGTAATAGGCCTCTTGAGTAATTTTTGTTATTAAGTAATTAATATCTTAAGTAATTTTACTTATGTAATTTTTAATAAAAATGTTAAATGTTATGTCTAATTTGTTTTGAATATATTTATTTAATTAATTTTAAATATAAGTGTCAGTAATTAAAATCATTGTAAGATTTTAATTACTGACAGATTATCAATCAATAATAATCTATAAATATGTCTCATCTTCTCTATCCTTGATCCCAAATGCACTTAACTTTTTAAATTTTATTTATGATGTAATTATTTTTTGCTATAAATATTTATATAAGATTATTTATTTTATTTACATACTTCATCTTCAAATTTCTGTTCTAATTCTTGATCTAACAACTTATGTATTGACTCAGTTATTTGTGTTGCCTAAGTTATAAATTAAAAAACTTTTTAAAAATTATGCCAATTAAAAGTCTGTGGCTTCTATTCAAAAACTGATATTTCACAAAAATTGAATTTTGAGATTTTTATAATTTGAATAGATATGGATGTTATCTGCTATGTACTAAAGATTTAATATGTAAATTTTATCGGGACAGTTTGTTTTTTGCTTTTTAAAAATATAAATCTTTAAAAGACAATACTGAAATTTTAAACTTATTCTTGTTCTTTTAAAAAATTGTTAACACTGACATATCTGCTTTGGAAAATAACCACAGTTATTATTATTATCTTACTTTACTTATTGTTTCACTGGCACACTTAACCAAATGAATTATTGGATAAATTGTTAGAATAATCATTGATAATGTAAATATTTGAGACCAGGGAGTACTATTCTTTTTGGATGAAAATGCCAAAACCACATTATAATGAACTGGCAAAATGTTTGATACAATTACTCTTGGTATTATGACAAGTAGTTGCATATTGTAAAATAAACAAATTTCCTTGAATGAAGTGTATGTTAATAGATGAATGTGATTAAGTATAGATATTTCTTTTGAACCAATCGGACACCATTGAATCCAATAAGTTCTCATCATTTTTTCTATGTTTGTTTCCAATATATAATTAACATAATTGAACCGTATTGCTAATTGTTTTAATAAAATATCTAATTGAAATACTTGTAGCCAAATCATTGGTACACAAGCAATTTCAACCAGATTTACCAATGGAAAATTTTGTTCAGTCAAAGCTAATTGATGAAATATTTCAAAACTAATTGTCAAAAATATAATTAATAAAATATTTGTGTAGCTTTTATAATTACTAACATTGTAATTAAAACTTATTTCTAAATGTTTTGATAAATTATCAATAATGCTAATATTATTAGTAAAACTTGAGTAGAGATTGTAATTAACAATTGAATTAATATAACATATTAACAACAATGATATATTTAACGTTGTGTGTAATATGCACCAAATTTTGTTATAATTAGTATATTCTGCTTTTAACAATATATATTTTAAATCTTCATAATAATAAATTAAAAGTAAAACTATAATCACTATACCAACTTTCTTAGATAAGTTATGATAGTCATAGCTTGGAAAAAGACCCAGTAAAGAACTTATGAAAAACACTGGTGATTTGTTCATAATCATTCTAGAGTAATACTGAGTACAAATTGTTTTTCTATTTTAATTTAAGAAATGCTTGAGGTATATAATATATTAATATTATGTATTAAGTTATTGTTTGTATTGTCAATATAATTCAAAATGACACTGATTACTGCAGGTATTTTGTTTACTAACACTTCAAGAATTCTTTACGGCGAGAAGTACTTTTTTTAATATTCCTACAAAACTTAAAAGCATTCAAATAAAATTAATTTAGTATATATTGAATGTAACATAATTTTAAACTTACTGGGTACTTTTTCTAAAGTTGTTATCGACCTATCTAACATATTTGTAAGAAAATAGATAAAAAATAATTATTTTAAACAAATAATAAAAAATATGAGTTTAATATAGTTTAAAACTCTGAAAATTATAAAATAATAACACAAAGTATTCGGTAGATCAAGTTATTGGATTTATTAAAAAATCGTGGACGACTGTATACATGTAAACTAATTGATATTTATAATTTAATTTTCTAGAAATAAATATTGATAGATATTTAAATAAATATAAAAGTAATGAAGTAAAAAAAGTATGAAGTTTTTCAAAATTTGAATGACTATTATTGTTATTGAAAAAAATTGACAAAAGTGTTTTGAAACTTGACCCAATGTATATGACTTCGATAATTATATACATTGACTAACTTAAAAATACGAGTTTGATACTCGTATTATTATTTCATAAGACGACTTTGAATTTATTATAATGTTTAATGTCAGTAATTTCTTTTCTCTTATGTTGTATATCATTATGTAATACGAAAAAATTACTCTGTCGACGTATTATTTACATATTTTGTCATGCATACGTGCTTCGTAACTTTCTAGACTATTTGGGATAATAGTAACCATCCTTTTATATTTTTACAAAATAAACACATTATACGGAGTGAGTCTTTTGACACTAGCCGCTCAATTTCTCTTAAAAAAATAAGTATTTTGAACATTTTTTTTCGTTTTTTGTAAAGTAAATATCGATATGTGCAACAAATAATTAATAACCCACTTTTTCTTACTCTTCAGGAGATCAAAAATAAAATTTATTATCCAATTACACTCTATATGTTTATCATTTTTCTAAGTTTAATTCCGATTCAAACAAAATTTTCGATATTTTGATGAAAGTTATTGTAAGAAGAGTAAAACCTAAACTTATAATCTCAAAGACCAATTTTTTGAGTTACTGCCTTATTCGTTGCGCATGGTGATATATATTTCCACTTGTTGTAAAATAATTTTCAGGTTCATCCCTTATATCTTATAGGATTGTGAAATTAATTTTTTTAAAGGTACATACATATTAAACTAGCTTATAAAATAGAAAATGAACTAATTATGAAAATGACTGATTGATAACAACTTTTGGATCAATATTTCAATATTAACAATTTAAAGTAATGACCGGAGGTTTATCATTAGTTATTTCTCGGTCGTACTCTTCTTCTCGTCTTGGTTTAAAAATGAGAATAATTTCCGAAATACTGATTTAAAAGTTGTTATCAATTATTAATTTTTTAAATGATATAATTTTCTATTTTATAAGTTGTTTTTAAATTTATAATTGGCACATTGCTAAACTTGGTCGTTAACACGTTTAAATATTCTTGACAAATTTCATTTATTCTAAATAATTTATAAACAGATTATAAATTTCGCCAAAAATTTTCTTACGTAATTTTGCGCTAAGTGTGACGAAATAGTAACTTAGTAAAACCATAGCGTTTATCAATGTCTATTTTTTAGCTTCCATGCGTAGCTGAGCAGGTATTTTTATTGTTGTCATGTTTTTGTTTTGTGTAAACGTAGTTATCGTCCAATAAGTCTATAAACCATATAATTTTCGGCAAAATGGACTATTTTGAAGTGTTTGGAATAGCAACGGAGTATTCAAAACTAAAAAAAATAAAAGCTTTTTTATGTACTATTAAATAGTAAATAGTAACTATTTGTAGGCCAGTCAACGAAAGAGTAATTTTGGCAAATGGCGGAAAAAATTCCATATCAAATTTCTTTTTTTTTTAAAGTTGAATTAAATATCAATTTAAGATAATTATTTTATTTTGTAATAAACATTGCGAATAATATAAAATTTGATCTATGAACGGTATCACAACAAAGAAGAAGGGGGAGTGAAAATAGATACACTTGTTTTAATTAATATAAATATATGAAAATATAATAAAGTTGTTCTGAAAATCAAATCTTAAAATGTAGAAGAGCCGGGGGTAGCTTACATACTAAAAGTAGCAAAGAATAATTATCAATTACTAAACAAAATAACAATTTTAAAATAATTATATGTTTAACATTCTTATTAGGCTAGTCAACAAAGGAAAAATAGCGGAAAAAAATCCCAACCAAATTTTTTTTTTTTTTTAAAGTTGAATTAAGATATGTATAATGACATACTAAGTCCTCATCGATTGGACTTGAGCTTTTTTTTTACAGCCTCGCAAAAGTTCAAAAATATGAGCTTTTTTCATTTTCTCAAAAAATATTAAACTTACAAAAAAAAGTTTCGTACAAAAGTTGTTTAAAAAACAATTTAAAAAAAAAAATGTATCTTATATTTTTTTCATTTTACGGTTACTTTTTATCATGTTATACTTACATTAGACAAAATGTTATAAATGCATATGTGTGTATGTGTGAGTTTATTTATTTATAGTATCATTGAAGTGTAGTGTATAATAACTTACAACCGATAGAGTAAGTAATTGATTTGATGCTATATTGTTTAAACCCAACTAAACGCTAAATTGTACACTCCCAAACAACAATTATATTATGTCAATTGCCACCGGAATTTCCGCTAATCTTTTTCTTTTTATTTGCCTTAATCCCAACTACTTGAGGTCGGCTACCCTCATCCTAAACTTCCACTTGACACGATCTCCCACATCTTCTACGCTCACATCAGCCGTCCTCATATCGCATTCAATAACATACTTCCATCTCTTTTTTGGTCTTCCTTTACCTCTTCTTCCTTCAACATTAATTTCTATAATTGTTCTTACAGCTTCCGATTCTTCTCTCCTCATAACATGACTAAATCATCTAAGTCTATTTTCCCTCATCTTATACACGATTGAAGCTACACTTATACTCCCTCTTATATGTTAGTTCCTTATTTTATCTTTTATAGTCACTCCACTCATCCAACTAAGGATTTTCATCTCTGCTACACTCATTCTCTACTCTACTTTCTTATCAACCACCCAACACTCTGAACCATACACCATAGCTAGTCTCACTATATTGTTGTAGAATTTAGCCTCATTGGAAATCTTTTATCGCATGAGACACCAGACGCTTCTCTCTACTTCAACCACCCGCACTTAATCCTGTGTCTTACATTCTCGTTAATACCATCGCTCTTTTGCACTATTGATCCTAAATACTTAAAACTTTCTACCTCCCTAATCACACTCTCGCCTAATGTCACTGATCTCCTCATTTCACCTACCTCATGTTCTCTTTTGTCAACCAAGTCAGAATTTCTGGTAATGATAAAATTAATTGTCATAAAGTGTCTAAAATTAGTCTTGTTCTAGTAAACTTAATGGTAGATAATAACTTTCATGATATAAATCTTAAAAGGTCAGATAAAGTTATAACTGTATCTTCAATAACTTCTATTGTTAAAATTAATAATGAAATAATTAAAGTAAACCCACTGCTACTATTTCAACTAATCGCTATTAAAAAAAAAAAACCAGACAGTGTGTATAATTGGGTGCACTATAGATCAGAGGTTCTCAAAGTCAAATGAATCACGGACCCCCATCTAAAGACTTACAATTTTAAAGACCTAACCCTGATATGTGCTCGCGGACCCCTGGGGGTCCGCGGACCACACTTTGAGAAACTCTGCTATAGATGATATGTGATAGTGATTAAAATCATTATCAAAAAACAACGCCCTGATGCAAATCTGTAGATAGTGTTTAATTTTAAAATTTTCATGGATTATTATAAAAGCTACATGATCTCCTATTTCCTTATTTATATCCTAAATACAAGTTATATGCATTACTAGTGCAAAGTATGTAATCAATGGAGGATTTCTCCACTACACCATTGACGTTTGTTGACCAATGTTCACATATAATAGAAAATTTAAGCCCTGTTTTTCGGCAACCACAATTTTTACCACCTCCAGCACCAGACTAAAGGCCGTTTTATGACAATTATCTTTATTATTAGCAGATATTCCGGTGGCAATTGACATAATATAATTGTTGTTTGGGAATCACAATTTAGCGTTTAGTTAGGTTTAAACAATATAGCGTAAAATCAATTATCTACTCTATCGGTTGCAACTTATTATACACTACACATCAATGATACTATAAATAAATAAACTCACACATACATACATATGCATTTATAACATTTTGTCTAATGTAAGTATAACATGATAAAAAGTAACCGTAAAATGAAAAAAATATAAGATACATTTTTTTTTTTAAATTGTTTTTTAAACAACTTTTGTACGAAACTTTTTTTTATAAGTTAAATATTTTTTGAGAAAATGAAAAAAGCTCATATTTTTAAACTTTTGTGAGGCTGTAAAAAAAAAGATCAAGTTCAATCGATGAGAACTTAGTATGTCATTATACATATCTTAATTCAACTTTAAAAATAAAAATTTTCCGCCATTTTTCCTTCGTTGACTGACCTATTGATTAAAAAGAGAATAATGTTTTGGCTGTAATTATTTTATGAGTAACTCGTCGTTAAAGTAAAAATTTCCGAAATTTTTTACTTTTGCCTTAGCATTTTTAAAAATTCACAAATTTCAATAGTTTTTCATCAGTAACACTAAAATTAATTAACTTTCTAATAACATGAGTTTTTATAAAAATTTAATCAATTTCTAAATACAAGTACTGTGTAAACATAGTAACATATGTACACAAAATTTTCAAATTTTGATATTGTTCTGGAGCGTCTGCGTTAAACCAAATTAAATCTTTTAAAATTTACTTTAAGATTAAAAAAAGAAAAACGTTATAATAACTTTTTTTCTTTAAGTAGTAAAAGGTGTCAATATCAAAATTTGTAAAATATCCTTTAATATTTTTTGTTTTCGGATCCCTACTATACTGTAATGGTATTTTTTTAAATTAACATTATTTTTAGGATAAGAATACGTATGGAGGATCGTTTATTTATCATCTTAATGAATCAACACCTCTAGTAGCTGCTGGTTTTGTTGTGGGGCTCGATTACTCTAATCCGTATTTAAGTCCTTTTAGAGAATTTCAACGATTTAAACATCACCCGCACGTGAAACCATTGTTTGAAGATGGAAAAAGGTGAAAATTGATTAAATTTTATAGTTTAAAAATCTTTTAATATATAGTGACTTTTTCTCAAAAAAAAAAAACTTGCAGCGAAATTACAAGCGAGTCACAAAGATATAACAAATCCAATAACTTTTAACCCAATTATAATTTTATTAAATTTTTATTAAGAGAAATTTCGTTAGTAAATAATATAACTTAATATTTCTACTACTAAATAGAGAATATATATATATTATATCAAAATTTAACATTAGTAAAATATTAATGTAGTTGTAAAATGTTGATGACCATAAAGGTTTTCTTAACAATAAATAACATAGGCTCAAGAAATAATTTTTTTTAAAATGAGTTAGTTACTATTTTATGGGTATAATATTTATCATTTATTATCTAGATTAATTTTTAATGGTTGTGGTATTTACTACATTATGTTTTATGTATTAATATTTTGTAATCATTTTAAGATAAATGTAGTTGTTTCTTTATTCTTAGATATTCATTAAATTACTAATATTTAGATATAAACTGTGATGTCTATTTTAAAGTTGTAAACACGTTGTTTCGTGTCAAATAACCATATCAATCAAATTGTGTTATACAAATATTTTATTTTTATAATAACGAAGATAGTTAAATTACCTTTTAATTATATTTACTAAAGAAAAATTTACTTTTGTATGGAAATTTTATGGTGTTAAGCTTTTTTAATCATAAAGGTTGAAATATTTAGCTATAATGAATACTTAGAAATTCAACTTTAGAAACAAACATTTTAATTTTTTCCCCNTAGCTATAATGAATACTTAGAAATTCAACTTTAGAAACAAACATTTTAATTTTTTCCCCCTAAAAGCATGAATGTATGTAATTGTGAGCTCCTGAAAACATGTCAAACTGAACGATATTTTAATTTATAAGATAGAAATTTTATTGTTGTTTATAAAAATTATTATTTTAAGTATATCCATAATAAATCGTTAAAATATTTTTGTTAGGATATTTCTCTATTTACCGTTTTTATTTACTTATAGGTGTGTATGAATATGTACCTAATGAAAGTGGAAATGGTGAGCGATTACAAATTAATGCACAAAACTGTATTCACTGTAAGACATGTGATATCAAAGATCCTACCCAAAATATCAATTGGGTTGTTCCTGAACCAGGCGGTGGTCCAGCTTACAATGGAATGTAAAAAATATATCACTGTACAATGTACAAACACATTGATGATTGGGTATGAAGTTTAATCAATACAGTTTTATCGTAAAATGCATCTATATTTTCAAAACGTATTACGAGTTTTAATTACTTTATTACCGTTTATTACTTTAATAACCGTCTGGGTTATTAGAAGTGTCCTAAATATAAAGAGCGTATAAATTTGAAAATTATTTTACATTAGCAACCGTTAGCTTTGTGTACTTTCATACTGCGTCACAATTATTATTTAAACAGTAAAAAACCTACTTGCTGAAAATTATATTTTTTATAAAACATCCATATTAATGAACAAAAAACACATTGAATTTTATTATAATTATTTATGTCACATTTTACAGAATATTTGTAATTTATTAATAAAAAGTAGCATGTACAAAAAATATTTTTATAAAAAATTACAGTGAAACATATTTCAGACAATCATCAAATATAATCTCAAAATTTACGAGTTATTAAATATACATAAAATTATTTTTCGATATTGTTGTGTCGAATTATAATTTTTATCAAGATGTACTTTATTTAATTGAGATAATATTGTTAGTTTACTATTATAAAAAAACTAAGTTCTTAAGTGATTTTATAAAAAATTTAGTCCAGAAATAACAAAATATAGTTACTTAAAGTCATAAATATTTTTTAATAATTATCCTTTGCTTATTACATTATATTTTGTTTACAAGGGCCGTTTTCTAAATAAGAAATTATTAAAATAACTGTATTAGTTCGAAAATGAATAACGAAAAAAAAAATCATAGTTTTATTTTTATGGGCTGATCTAAGGTTCATTGTGCTCCTGTTAGGAAATTTATATTAATTCACTTGATTATTTAAAAAAATACGTCCCGTGCATGTAAGGCTGTAGTATTATAAAATAATTTAGATAAATTCAAAAGATTGAACGTAAAATGGAACAGATTGGACTTGGGGAATAATAATATCATCAAGTTATTTCATATAAATAGCTAAATGAAGCCTAGCTAAGAACTTCAACCACGATGGTTTTTTACGGTTCTTATGCTAAAGGACGTAGTGGTCGGTAGCACGACTTCTAGGGAAATATCTGGCTACGATGGCAATGATAAATGTTTCGACAACTAATTGATAATTAAACTTAATAATATAAAAGTTATCATAACTCTAATAAATGTATAATATATTCTACATTTTTAAAGATATAGCTTAGAAAAGTCAAATTTTTATTTTAATTTTAAGATATTATTATTTTTTCAATTCCGTCATGACATTAATTATAATTTTTTATGTATAATCAATATCACTTAATGGAGAGGTAGATAGCATCCCTTATGATTAAAAATACCTATATAGTACAATTTGTTTATATTATTCATAAATAGTGCTGATTAAAATGAAGTAGGTTTAAGAAACAATATTTTGATTATTTAGTTATTTATTAAAATTTTCGGGATTTGAGTTATATTTTGTTTATTTAAATAACCAGTATCATGATTTTGTCGATAAAAAATAATTAAATATTTTTTAATATTAAGTAAACTTTTATTGGAGCTTAAATAAAAAACATATTTTTATCGAAAAAATCACGCATTATTTAAAGATTTAAGAGGCACATTTTTATCTATCTTATTTTTTATTTAAGTAAATAATATAATTATACTCTTACATTTGCACTCTAATCACTTACGTGGTAAATTTTAACAAACACCTATTAATAAGCATCAATTCTCAGTATAAAAGCCACAATTTAAGGTTATCATTTTTAATTTTAACAGTTTAAATTTAAGAAAGAACTATGTTAAAAATATATTTAGTATATGTCTTCATTGCATCAGCGGTAAAGTATAAACAATTTGTATTTAATTTTGTTATGATAAATTTTACGTATTATAGACTTAATAATATTTTATTAAAATTGTAGGTTGATGTTTGATAATTTAGGCAAATTATAATAGTAGGGTAATACAGGGACACTGATTTCGCTTCACCCACCTACCAACCGAATGGATGGTGGTCAAGAGGCGTTGTCTGGGGAGGACTCCCCAGACTCTCCTCCTAAACCAAGTCTTAAAGAAAAAGGGGTAATGAAACTTAACATAAACTAACCTAATGCAATGGGAGGGGTTAGGAATGAAACACGACGTAAGCTAACACAACTTGTCACACGCTTAAATGGATTATCTTGCGGAAAAATAAAAATGAATTTTCCGGGGTAGGTACGCGTTAATTCTTAAACGTGCGTATGGTGCGCGTCGAATCCGAGTGTTTGTTGTGTCGCACTGCCATACACAAAAATTGACTCCACAGACCTTCGAGTAGTTCACCGTATCGCATATGTTGCTACACGACCGTCGCCATCGCCGCCACCGCGGACAACGATAAACGCTGGGGTATATACAAGGTGGCCCACCACTCACTGACAACTTAAATAACTTTTGATCCTGTTAATATTTTTAGCTGATTTTTTTTTTAAATAATAGTTATACGTAAGGTCTATAGCTATATCTCAATAATTATTTTTTTTACATTTTATTAAAAATATTAATTATTTTTTAATTTTAAATAAAAAGTAAAAAAAAAATCTAAGATAGCTATTTTGTAGAGTAGAATTTAAGAAAAATTTTAGTAAAAAAATATCTTATTAATATTNAGATAGCTATTTTGTAGAGTAGAATTTAAGAAAAATTTTAATAAAAAAATATCTTATTAATATTCAGTAGTAAATATTCTGTAGCATTTTAAAGTTTGTGAAAATTTAAATTTTCATGTATTATTTTACGGTATTAAACATTGAAATTGTATAATTTACAACCTTGGCATTAATACCATGATAAGAAATTTGATAAGGCAATTATTGCTTATCACTCTCATTCAAAAGTATGTCATTTTCATGGAAAAAGTTACACACCTCCAAATTATAGTAATCACGAAAAGATAGTGTTTTCTTCTGTCCTTTTCTCAATACGTATTTCAATGTTTAATACCGTAAAATAATACATCTTTGATGCTGGATATATGATGACCTAAGCGTCTGGTAGGCAATGATAAACTTCATAGAAAACGTTGTTAGTTTAAGTTGGGATTCATCCCCACCTTACCCATTGCATTAGGTTAATTTATATCAAGTTTCATTACCCCCTCACTCTTTAGGACATGTTGAAGGAGGTCCCTGCAGCGTTAAAGTGGCAACGGCGTCCGCTACTTGACTTAAACTATTTCAATGTAATGCGTACGTTTAAACATACGTTTATTAGTTAACATGAGGTTTACCTTATCCTCCAGTAGATGGCACCGTAGGAGGAGAACAGCAATTTCGAATGGCTACTTCCCCCACCGCAGACATAAAGCACATGCTCACTAAAGTTTAATCCCGCCATTTTTAATGACCATAACACCCCACCTACACTCCAGACTACACCTTCAATTATCCCTACTATCATAAGACCACTCCTCCCCTTATCTCCACCTACATAAGCCTACGTCTTCTCCTTATCCCCTCCATCGTAATACTACATCCACCTCTTACCACCACTTACATTAGACCACGCCCTTTTTTTTTCTTCTACAACCGGTATTATTATGGGCCGCCCTGGAACTGCCGTGAGGCATTACTTCAGGGCGGCCCGCGCCATCATAATAATTCACACCAACACGTTGTGAATTAGCTCGAAATTAATCAAGAGCTGATTTGCAACATGGTGTGGCCCCCTCCCGTTAACCAGATGCCAAAGTGGGAACCGTTAGGGAGGACTGCCAAAATAACTCACAACACATAATATTAAACACGAAATACCTACGGCGCCGGCCTAAACCAGCGCCTTAGGTCCTCCTATACCGAGCGTTGCGGCTGCCTCTGTCTCAGGCGTTCAGCTTCCTCCTTCTTTGTCAAGATGGATTCGGCAAACGCCTGAGACCACGCCCTTTCCAACACTTTCAGTAGCCCACGCCAATCCCTCCCCACTACAAAGACGGTGGATGAGGTGGTGAGGCGAGGTCCTAGAATCCCCTATTTTACCCTACTTGTATGTATTTTATCATTAATAATACATTTTAGTTAACGCAAACAAGTCTGGATCCATTAGATGACTTGGATTCATACACTAATGAATTCACTGAATGCATGGAAAAAAATTCTATGGATTATTTAGGAGACGCACCTATAAGTAATTAATACATTTAAAATATAAAAATATATTTATTTTTATTTTACAGTAATTTTTAATATATTTAATGTATTTATACTTACACAACTGTTGATTAAAAACGTATGTTTTAATTTGTTAGAATAGTCCATAAGTTAAAAACGGTAGCACAGTGGGGTCGCAGCATAGTATGGACGTGGCATAGTTGGGACAAGTATAGATGATATCTGACAGTGATTAAAATCACAAAGAAACGCTTCGATGAAATCTGTAGATAGTGTTTAATTTTAAGAGATTGATAGATTATTTCAAAAGCAATCATAACTCTTATTCCCTTAATTTTATCCTGATTTATAATTATTATGTATTCATACATAATAATTATAGTAATTAATTTAGTATGAAATTGATATTCATAATGTTGTAATTTTTACGGTGATATTATAAAAATAAAAAGGAATTTATATACATTTACTTTTAACACGTATAAAAATTTAAAGGGATTGATGCAATACTTTTTAATAAAAAAATTTTGTTACTTATGAATAAATACACTAGACTACAAGGAATTTCATCAGAAACAAAAATGTACTTTTCTAAATCAACTTTTCGCGATGTTTTCAAATGTGCAATTAAACTTTTTAACACGCTTTTATTTTAACACGCTTTTATTAGTTTCACATGTATTTTGTATGTTGTTTGTATGTTGTAAGTTTGTAACTCCACGCGGCACGTGTTATTATGTCGCGTATGCCGTCGTCTATGACCTTGAGACTAGACCGTCGTAACGCATTCACCCCACTCCGCTCACCAGTCGGCGCCAACACTATTTTTTTCTGTATAATTTTGAGTAAACGCCGCCGTGCAAAGTCCAGCAAGTGCCGCACGGCCGACGACGTACCGCCGCTAATGATACCGTAGTATTCTTCCTGTTGTCAAAGTGGCCACGTCAATAAACCGATCTCCACTCGCGCACCGTCACCATCAACGCTGCTAACCTTTTGACGCCCGAGGATCACGCCGGACATCGCGTCGTCGACGCCAACGAAAGTGCCACGATATTATGCGAAGATTATATATTCTTACCATCGCCGCTAATATTAATATATATATATATATATATATTATTATTTATATATACGTATATGTTAATATTCATTTATATATCCCTACAGCCGACGCCGCTGCCGCCATATATGCCTCGCGCCCCGCCCGCCAACAAAACACAGCTATACCTCGTGCATGATACGTTTACGTACTTAAGTCGCTTTACATGTATATATATAT